GAGTGTATGTCGCCACGACGCTATAGCTATTTGTGCTTATGTTGAGGGGTTGATGTGGACGCGGACTTCGGCACAGACGGCAGCGCGGTGTCAGACACCGTCAATACTCAACATGTAACGTTCGTTTTTCTACTGTGCTAATCAAAGTGTGGGGTATTTTGCAATACAGCTACTCTGCTCTTGGGCCGTCGTGTATATACGGCCTTGCCGGACAGTCTCGGTGTTGATTCACAATTGCTTTTCTTGTCCAGTTTACAGTACACAGTGATAACGAAGAATGAGAATGTATTATCATTGATACGTGCCACAACGCTATGCATCATCGCAACGCTCAGAGAATGCTCGCTAGCACGCTTCATCGTTTCATGGCAGATATGCCGTATGCAAAATCTCCCATGCCACATACACACTTGTTTCTTCGGCCCATCATAGACTGCCAAGGGTGCTGTGCATTATTCTACACATCACGCTCAATCCATGAACACCCTGAATACCTACATCTCCTTCCGAATTCATGCTCGTACGTCATTGAGGTCGACAGCGACCACCGCGGTCTCTAAGGCGCTGGCTCGCCTCTTGGGACGAACGGAGGTGACGACTGACCATCAGATGGAGGTGCATCAGAGTTTATCTCCCGGTTCACCGTCTGAGGAGTGACAGTAGTAGTCGAATTGGAGGATGAGTGAAGGGGGCCCGAAGGTGTTGATACCGGCTGGACGGGTTCTGACGTAGTTGCTGAAGCCTCAGGCTGGATCGCTGCGCCACCTTCTATCTGCTGCGTACTGTCGACATTTAGGGGCGATGGTGCTTTGGCGAATGGCTGCACAGGAGGTGTTGTAGTGACAGGTGACTTGGAATTCCTGTCCGGAGATCGCGCAACTGATCGGGGTTCAGTCAGTGCAGCTGGGAGATCTGTCCGCAGAGCCATGGCAGGACTCATCCTGGGTTTCGGGCTTCCCGGCGTAGGCACGTTCGGGGGTGTTGGACTCATCCCGGTAGGCGTGACGTCGCTGGATTTGTCTGCTTTAGGTTGAGGCTCCTCCACCGGTGGTGGTACATCCGGTGCTCGCCCTCGAACGGCGAAGGATTCTGTTGGATTCATCATGTTCTGCGGCGAAGGGAGATGACTCGAGCTGCCCGGTGGGCTCTTGGCTCTTTCTCTCCTATCTAAACGTTCTTTGTGATCCTGTCTGCGCTTGTGGAACCAGTCAAATGCACCTTTCTTGTCGGATTTGTCGTGATCAGGGGGACTGCTGCCGAATAGCATCGACGTTTCCGAGCCATGATTCGACTCGTACTGCCCACTTCGGCGCCCTCCGCCTGTCCATCCAGAGCTACTGGCAAACGAGCTCATACTCTTATCAGCGCCGGGTACCGAACCGTGGAGATCGGTCTGACTTGCTGTCGGCGTTGCCTTGCTTTCTCCTCGTCTGTGGCCTTTCCAAAAACTGCGCTTCTCCTCTCTTGGTTGTTCTTCCAGTTGCTCGTTCTCCGAGTATTCTGTTGCTGTTGAATGAGATCTGAAACTAGCAGAAGGCGACATGCTAGGTTTGAGTGTGTTCCCGGAGGCCCGCGAGGAGCCTGTGTCTTGCAAAACCTCTCTAGAGCTGTTTGCGTGCGACTGACCATGGGCAAAGGGAAGCGAGGGTGGCTGCAGTGGTGAAGGAGGTCCGTGAGAGAATTGACCACCAAATCCTGAATCACTGCCACCAAGAGAGTGCGTGGAGCTATGCGTACTCTGGCTGATACTATTCGGCAACCTCTTCTTCTGAAGCTTGTTCGGTTTTCGTCCATCTTTGGCTTCTTTGGACTCGTTTGGAGGGGAGGCAGCGACCTTGGCTAGAATTTGGGTAAACGTACGAACAGCAGGAGTCATCTCAATTGACGGACCTGAGTCCACAGGCCCTTCCAAGAACTCTGACCGCTCACGCGTTGGCGTGTGACGAGGACTACGCTGAGGACTACGTGGACCGGGAGTAGTGGACCTTGAAGGTAACAGGTTCTGGGCCGACTGGGCGACGACGTTCGGGGTAGTGGGCTGACTCGGTGGGATGACGCCCGGAGACGGCAGAGGGAACCCGCCTGGCATGTTGTGGGTGGCAGGTGTGACTGCGGGTCTATTGTGTGAAGGCTCTGCCGGTTGCATAGCCATTCCCTGTTGGGGGAAGGGTTGGTATGGGACCGGCATCTCGATCTTGTTCGGTGGCATGGTCTGCGCACGTTGTGGCGGTGGCAGTTCCTGATCGGCAGGCTGTGTGGCTGGTATTTGCTCCGCTGCGGGTGCGACCGCCTGTGGGGCTTCCTTCGTTCGTATAGGCAACTCCATCTCCTGCTGTGGGGCAACATTCTCAGGAACATCAGCAACATCTGGAGGCATGGGAGACGAGAGAGGGCTCTTAGTCTCTTCAGGGCCGATTTGCTTTGCAGCAGGGAAGCGGGGACTCCCAAGCCCCGGGGAGCGCTTTGAGGGCAGCGTGTTGCTTCGATGCACTCCAGATGTCGTGGTCGAGACAAATGATGGTGCAATTGGGCTGGGAACAGCGGGTGAGTGTCGTGAACGCTTCGAAGACGTGGATACATTCCTGCGGACGCCGCCATACATGCGAAGGCTTTCTGCACCAGCGCTCGAAGTGGTCGAAGCCGATCGCCCAATGCCAGAACTATTGCGGGGTGTGGTGGGTGTCCTTGCCTGTGGGGTAGAAGGCCCGCTTTCAATGTGCTTGACAGTACCTTCATCGACGGCTGTGCCTTCCATGCCAATTAAGAAGTGATCCTGGTTGTCGATGAGAAAGATGAGCACGTCCTGGCTCAGACGATAATCTTGTGGAGACATGTCGTGCTGCGGATGTGAGAGCAGTCCGGGCTGGAAGATGGCAGCCAAATTGGAGGTTGTCATCTTGTTAACATCAGCCTTGGCGGCAAAGACTGCGAGCAAGTCTAGGATGTACAGCAGCAATTGCCGGTTCAAAGACGGCAACGCCTTAATCTGATGTTGATATATGCGCACAGCCGCATCGGGATCGAAGCCTCCGACCGAGGGCTGCTGTCCTTCACTGGCGCCTACTGCCTCAGCCTGATGGCCTTTGAGGGGATTCCGGAAGGGGTCATAATGTTGCAGCGGTATTATAGGCTCCGGGAGATTGTTGAAGTAGCGGCGCAGAATATTGGCGGCGTCATGTACAGTATAGCCGGACCAATCCAGGCCTTTTCCATAGCGGGGTGGGGTGTCAAAGGCCGTCCGGAGTTCCTTGATGCGCTTCTCGGAGCCTGCTAATCGGAAGATGCCTTCTACGTCGGTTGCTGTGCGCTGTTAACAGCTGATGGGTGATGGGATTAGCTTCACTGACCCTTTTCCTTCAGAAAGACACCGCATTTGGCGACCACTATTGGGACGTAGCCGTAGATGTAGCTTTCGCCGTGCTCGTTGAATAGCGAAATAGCGACGTTGGCATAGGGTATGCTTTGTATGAGGGGTACACCAAAGATGCCAGGGAGGGCGGGTTCTACGTGCGGCCACAACAGTCAGTGATTGTTCGCGACAAGAAGAGGCGGGGAGCTGCAGGCACAGTCGCAGCGCATTGCTGGGCTTCAGCCGCCAACGAGGCTGAGCTCGCGGACTCGACATGTGAAAATGCTGGCAGTGGTGTCGTACCTTTCTCATCCTCCTTTTTCGCGGGGCGCTTGCTGAACTGCCTCCACCACGATGTCAAGTCTCGACGCGACGAGGCAGGTTCTGGTGTCGCGAACGGGGCGGGCTGGGGCTCGCCATTGCGCACGCGCGGCGTGTTGGGGTTGGTGTGGGTGCCTGCGGGAGCCATGGCAGGCGGTGGTGTGGAGAGCGTCGCAGCTCTAGGTATGTAATATGGCAGGCGTGGTGTCCAGGTACAGGTGGGCCCGAAGTGGGCAGGCGGCAGCTGTCTGGGGGCCGCTATGTGACGTCGGAGGGTAGCGAGTCGAGGAAGCGAGGTAGCGAGCGTGCGCGAGATGTCAGCGGGGTCGTGACGGCGTTCCTGGAGGCGGATCCTGCAATATTGACGTCTTCCTTGGTGGAGAGCAGAGCGAGAGAGCTGTTGGCGCGAGACTGGGTCTAGGACGCGACGGGCGGTTAGGGGTACAGGTACAGCTGCAGGATGTCGTCGGAGGGTTCAGCGGCCTGGTCGGGCGCAATATCGAGGCGCGCCTGAAACTGTGGCTCGAGGCGACTTGGGCCTGCAGGGTCGGCGTCTGGGGAGGGCAATGATCGCAGTCGGGGCGAGGCAGTCGAGTGGCAGCCCGCTGCTCGACTGACGAAGAGCAGCAGGTTAGCGGCCGTGATGTGTGGCTGCGGGCCAATTGTGAGCATCCAAGGAAGACGGCACGGCGTCGCCTGACTGACAGACACAAACGCGAGGCTTGATGCCCCTCGACGGCAAAATACAGCGGCGATCGATACGGGTAGCGGATGCAGCTGGCTATTAAGAGGCGATGTTATTGTGTTATTATTTTGCTATGCTGGAGTCGGTTCCAATAATAACGACCGTCTTGGCGAGAAAGGTACAGGTCAGGTACTGGTACGGCCATGCAGCGGGAGCCACACAATATTGGTGCCACGGGGCATGAAAGACGACGCATCCATTGCCACATTCTGTCCAAGGTGCCTTCCAAGATTTGTCCCAGAGAAGACCCGCTGAATGCGGCTGCCATGAAGTCTCCACGCCTGCTTCCCGTGGTTCGGTGACTGGAGAGCGTGGACGGGCCGCCCGGTGGCCTAGCTCGCGTCTACACTTTTGGGTGCAGGCTCGTCAGCACAGCATCCAGACAACCACCCGACGTCATACCAAATTTCCGCGTCGAGCCACCCTTCCGTAAACAATAATCCTGCCACCACACACGACCAGGCATCATGGAGTCGTATGTACTTGCCCCAATTGGCATCACAATAACTAATCGCATGTAGACTCACAGCATCTGAGCAGCGCGAGCTGCAGTCGCGCATGGAGAAGAAGCAGATGAAGGAATTTATGAACGTACGCCATCCAATTTCTATGCTGCACGACCACAATACTGACCATCCCAGATGTACTCCAACCTCGTCCAGCAATGCTTCGACCACTGCGTCAACGGCTTCGAGAGCAAGTCGCTCACCTCGCGCGAAGAGAGCTGCGTTATGCGATGCGTCGACAAGCACATGAAGGGCTCCCAGCGATTAGGCGACCGCTTCCAAGAACAAAACGCTGCCATGGCACAACAAGGTGGCATGGGCGGAAGATAAAATTCTGCGAGATGAGCCCACGTCGTCAGCTATGAGCCGGTAGCAGGCTCAGCGGCGGCGGTGGCTATTTCATGTTATTTGGATCACGACATCTGTACAATAGAAATGATTTCTGGAATCTGGCTGGGAGCGGGCTATGATCTATGGCCTTGGTCAAGCAAGCTACAACCTTGCACTCTAAATCAACAAGCGCTCCGTTGCCGCTGTCACATGTCTCCGCTTAATGCCTATCTGGGACGAAATGTGCGGTGAATGTGTTTGCAGATGGCTAGCCGGTTTGTACGCGTGCAAATCGAGTCGCAGCTGACAAGCTAAAGACGCCCAAATCCCAATGCTAGCTGTTCACAGCCGCGAACGTCGTCATGAGAGTGCCACGAAACACCAGTTCGGCCCTTCTAAGATACGGTGTTGTGGCGCACCACTTTGCGTGCACTATGGGCAATCTTCAAGAAATCTAGACGCGGCCAATCAAGCGCGCACAGGTCTACGAAGACATCGAGGCTGTACTGTGTGCGCTCGCTGCAATCTCCACGATGATCGCCTTTAGCGGTGGCTGTGCTGCATCTCCCAAGCCCTTGGCTGCCAGCCTATGACGCAGCAGCTACCGCTTCACCGACCCTGTTCTTGCCCTGAATCTGCCTCCAGCCTCCCACACACCTCCTATATAACACACGCGCTGCGATCACCTTCCAACTACACCACAACAAGAACTCTCCACAAACAGAGCGATTCGCCAACTTCCAAACCTAAACTTCTACCTTTACCAACCAACAAACAAGCAACCATGGGTCTCATGTGGCATAAGGGCTTTGGCGGCAAGCACGCCGGTAAGTGGCCCGCTTTGGAGCCGTCTGTTCCGGACACAGGCACCAGTTGCTGACAAGATACTAGGTGGTGGTGTTGTCGCTGACCGTCACGGCGTCCGCCGCGCTCCCTTCCGCTTCTCTTGCGGACGCTTCAGCTGCTTCCGCTAAGCTAGTCGCCGACCCTTGACGACGATTCACGACCTGTAAGCTTTTTGCACGACATTCTGCGATGTCTAGTCCTGACTTTGCTAGCTTTCATATCCCACATTTCGATGATTTCCTCTTGCGACGGCGTTGGTGCGATTGAATACGCATGGCGGCGCGTAATTCAAGGAGAAGTTAGGCGATACCACGGGCATACATCTGCGACGCAGTTTCATGCTTCACAATACCCTCAGTAGCCTAATACAACATGTCTGTTCTTCACTGCATTTCCGCACTCATCGCGCGCAATCACCTGGCCCTGTGTACACAACAAACAAGACAATCTGGAACATGACGTCAGAGCCCACATCCTTGTCACAGCTCCACATCCCAAATCCATCACGCGCCACAATATCAAACCTCATGGCGGGGCAACCGCGCAGGCACACAGCTCCAAGCAAAGCCAATGGGTGAATATCGCAACGGTACCAACCCACGATATAGCAAGATGCGGTCCATCCTCATCATCAACCCAAACTCCACGGAGCAAATGACCAACGGCCTGAAGCCGCTCGTCGACGCCCTGCAGTTCAAAGACGTTAATCAGCACCACTCACCACACCCACCCAGCAACTAACCACAGCTAAGCAGACCGCTCACGAGTACTTCACCGCGCCCTCCGGCCCCAAGAGCATCAATAACGAAGACGACGCTGCCGAATCGGTGAAACACTGCCTCCCCGCCTTACGCGAACAACTCGCCCGCCACGATGCCTTCCTCGTCGCGTGCTACAGCCAACACCCGCTCGTCCCGCTCCTCAAAGAAGAACCCGCTATAAGAGATACGAGGAAACCTGTCACGGGTATCTTCGAAGCTAGTGTCGGTGCTTCTCTGCAAGCTATCCACCCCGACGAGAAATTCGGCATAGTAAGCACGGGTAAGGTCTGGGAGACTATCCTCACGGATGCTACAATAGCCTTTTTGGGCACGGGCTCAGATGCGGGTAAAAGGTTTGCAGGTGTTGAGACAACGGGACTCAATGCGACGGATCTGCATGATGCGCCGGCGGAGGAGGTGAGGAAGAGGATGAAGGATGCGGTTAAGAGGTTGTTGGGCAAGGGCAAAGTGGGTGCGGTTTGTCTGGGCTGCGCGGGTATGGCGGGGATGGATGAGATGGTTCGCGAGGCTTGTGTGGAGGAGTTGGGGGAGCAGGAGGGGGGGAGGGTGAGGGTTGTGGATGGGGTTATGGCGGGGGTTGCGTGGTTGGATGGGGCTGTTAGGGCGGGGTTCTAGGATGGAATTATGTACAGATAGTAAATGTCTGTTTGTGAAGACTATGGATATACGCTATAAGCTTGTAGAAACCTAATCAAGCGGCAGCGGGTGGGTGCGACATCTCCAGCGCTGGTGCTGACCAAAGGCGGGATGACGTACCCGGAGGCCCACAAGTTCGGACCTTCGATCATTCCACCGATACCACCCAACTGTATGCTTCACGCTTCACTCAAGCCTTGCCAACCACAAACCTCGCGGTCGCCATTTATACTAATAGTTATTCATACACTATCATGCAGTCGCTGCCAAACGAGCTGCTCGCTCAAATCGCCTTGCATCTCGCAGGCCAAGCCCCATCGATCACCAAATTCCACCACGAGCCGTCTTCGCAATTAACGCACTCTGATTCTATACCCCTAAAGACCCTCTCCCTAGTATCATGGAGGTGGAGAAAGGTCGTGCTTCCAATCCTCTTCCAATACGCCCGTATAGCACTGGACAAGGAAGCACTATGGGTACCAATGGATGCGCGACTCGTCGATAGCATGCAGGGAGAGCTATCTAAGTTGAGTAACCACGAGTTCATGATCTACACCAAACTTCGCAGCAAATTCAAGAGTACCTCTGGATCTGCTTTCGAGCCAGCTATGGACGACGTGCTCATCCAATTGTGCCGCATCCAGGATGGAGACGAACACCTTAAGGCGACACTGCGAGCTGCGTGGATCCCGCATCTTTCAAAGGATTTCGACAGATTCACACAATTTGTCACGCAGAACGATTTGAAACGCCACATCAAGAGCTTGGTGGTGCATACAGATCAAGAATACAACCTGTGGCATGTATCCACCGCTCACGACCACATGCTGAGCTCAGTTACCGACATTTGGACGAAGACATTTTCATACCTAGACCCTACACGTCTCATTGTCGCTGCACCACCAAAAACCATGGCCGCACTGGTAGATTCTGCCGTGGGCACCAACGACAACTGGGCTTTCGAGATGAAGATGCACTACATCGAGCTTCTCCAGAAAGAGCCTCCACTTGACAAGACTCCGGATAGCGAACCCCGGTATTCTAGCTGCCAACTCCTGCGACAAAGACCCTGGCACCACCTCGGCTACAACGAAGGCTCTTCCATAACCGTATACAGCACCTACGAATTCCATCTCATGGTGCCGCCCCGCATCCTCGAACTCCTCCTTTACCGTATTGCCAGCTTTGCCAAGAAAACGGAATTCTGCCGCCACTTTACATCGTTTAGCTTCACCGCTGTCTTCCCCCTGCTATCAGGCCTCACGCCCGTACTGTGCGGCATGCACATGATCCCGTCCATCACCAAAGCCACCTTCCAGCTCGCCCCCGGCCCCGAGAACGACCTCCTCAGCGACGCGAGTAAGCGGCGCAAAGCCCAGTCTTCGGATTTCTGGTCTGAGTGGCGCATGGGATACAAACAAATCGCTGATTTTGAGTTTTTTAGGGAGGGGAAGATGGGGGGTGCGAAGAGTGAGTGTAGGACGTTGACGGAGATTGTGAGTAGGGATTGTTATACGGGACAGTTGAGTGATGAGGTTACGGAGGCTGTGGAGGGGGGTTTGAAGGGGGATGTGTTTGGGTGGAAGGGAGACGGGGTGGGGAGGTGGGTTAGGGATCTGGAGGAGAGGGAGGATTTTGTACAAGAAGGAGGCTGAATAAGTGTGGAGCCTGCATCGACGTTGGGTTACTTACTTTGTGTGGTCTTGTGTTGATGTAGACCGGACACCTATTCAGGTTCTTGCATGCACCTTCACGCTACAGCTAAAGTCGTGAGTACAACTCGAATTAGAAATACCCTCCTTCTTACACCCCATATATTCACGTGGTTACTCAGCGAAGACCTCGTCAGAATATTGACACCGCAGTCACATCACCACACGAACGCTTCCATACCCATGTCTTCCTTCCTCCCTTCCCCAGCTCTACTACCCAACACTCTCCTACCTCCCCACCATCATTGTCGAAGCCAACACACCAACATCCAAAAATCCAATGATCGAACCCGTAGCCGCAACAGTCATCATACTCTTCATCCTCGCTCTCATCGCCTACTATCTCCAGCCCCAACAGCCACAACATCAACGCCACTACTACCACCAGGTTAGACGAGCGCGCGGTATGGCTGATCCCCAGCGCCGTGGACGTGCAGATAGTGTGGATCGAGGAGCAGAGATAAGGGGAGGAGGAAGGGATGTGTATAAGCGAGAAAATGAAGAGGGAGAAGGTGAAAATGAAGGCAGAGGAGAGGTGGCGATAGGGGTACGGGAGTTGGGGATGATTGGGAGGGGCGTTGTGGGGAGTAAGATGGGTCTGGAGGGTGGTGGGGATGTTGGGGATGAGAAGAGGCTGGGGGCGAAGGGAACTGGGGAGTGTCATGGAAGGGAGGCGGACGGTGTGAATGCCGCAGCGGATCTCACCAGCCTCGGTGCAAAGCTCGGATATGCGTACGGATACTGCTTCGCAGCTTCCGTTTCCGCCGATTACACGCCTCACCATTCCTGATAGCGACATTCCTTCTACTATCTTACCCTCGCACGACGCAGAGCAGAAGGCTACCCCGGACGACCAATACGTTAACACCCTTGATCAGCAGCGTAGACAACGTGTTCGATTTGACGAGGCGCTTAGAATGCATAGTTATGGTGGGAATCAGTATGTTGGGAGGGTAGTGGACAGGGATGTTTAGAGGAGGGCAGTGGTGAGGAGCGAGGTGGAAGAGGAAGAAGGGGATGTTTG